AAATAAATAAATAAATTATAGCTAAGTCTCAGTGGTGCTTAAGTACAAATAATTATTTTGGATGTGTGCTCTTTTATTTTAGCAGAGACTGAAATTAGTTGTGGTTTTGACCAGAAAGAATTCCACGCTTTGTCCTCTATAAAATATTTTAATGACTTTTTCCCAGAACAATTTAAGGCCAGACATAGGTCCAAACAATCTGTTGATTACAGTGCTGTAGCTCTCAGATAACAATTCTTTAATATTTTTTTGCAGGGCACAAAAATTTTATTTCTATTTCCTCAAGAAGATGAAAAAAATCAATTCCCATAAAGTTGAGAAAGATATGAAGTACATTACAGTGATGCCCTGCTTGACGACAATAATCTGTTCCAGGAAAATCACTGTTAAGCGAAATCGTCATCAAGCAAAAAAACAACAACCCATTGGAATGCACGGAAAACCGGTTAATGCGTTCCAATGGGGAAATACCTCATCGTCCAGCGAAGATCGCCCATAGAGAACCACCGATCAGCTGTTTAAAATCACTCTTCCAAAGCAGGGGTCCGGAAAACAGCCATTTTGCAAAGGGAGGGAAGCCATTTTGTGGAGCCGGAAAAATCATCGTTTAGCGAACAAACGGTTCACGAAGCAGGCTAGTAATCAATGTCAAGCAAAAAAACCCCACTGGAACCATCGTTTTGCGATCGCAATAGTGATCGCAAAAAAACTCATTGTAATGCTGTAGTGGGCACACTGGAGCCTATAATAACTCAGGCCTCCAGTATGTGCTCACTCCTCTTCTCAGGTAGCTGCCACCAGGTATTGCTGCTCCAATACCAAATATTCATTGACACTTGTATTTACTTATAAACTTAAACTTGTTTATTTGATTACATAAAAGAAATAGGTAAATCACAATTAGATAATCAATTTCTTTCAATCACTTAACTCTCTAATACAGACTCTGCTCTCACTGACTCATTAACACACTGCCTTCTCACTCAGATCTCCACTCTCTCTCTCATCTCCCTCACTCAATCTCCTTCAAATACCTCATACACCCTTATTTATATCCCAGCTCCTCCCCCTTTTGCACCACCTTCCGTCCCCTCATTGGCTGCTGTTCCACTGCTCAGCTGTGACAGACAGGTGAGGGCAGGGCTGAACACTACAAATGCGATTTCGATGTCATGCAGGGTAAGCGTCTAGCAGGACACCACTGTATCTGCATTATATGAAACTTCTGTACCTGTCAATTCTTCTGTCAAGTTAAGTCCCTGATCTGGGCCTATTATTTGTACTCAGACTTTTGTAAATAAAATAATCCTATCGATTTTCATTTGTTGAAGTGGTTCAAGTTGTCATTAAAAAAAAGAATTGAAAAAACAAAGAATGGTGCAGAAAGGGGGCCAGTAGAGAGAAGGTCTATTTTTGTACTTAATCCAGTCCCTCGATGAATTGTCCATAACCAGGTTAGTAATATGTCACATATACTTAGCTTTCAAAAAAAATTAGTGAGGCAACTTGCAAACAGACTAGACTCATCTACTTGGTATTCGATAGCAGTGACCCTCAAATTTGGGTAATTATTTATTATTATTTATTTAATTTATACCCCGCCTACTGGTATTCGATAGCAGTGACCCCCAAATTTGGGTAACCCAGATGTTCTTTGCCTGCAGTTCCCAGAGGTCTTCACTACCAGCTGTGCTGGTTGGCGTTTCTGGGAGCTGCAGTCCAAGTACACTCAGGTTACTCAAGGCTGGAAACCACTGTTCTATAGGAAACTACCATATTTTTATGTTTATAAGATGACCCAATGTATAAGATGACTACCCCCTTTTTAACCCCCAAATTAGAAAATTTGAAAATCTGCACAATCGCACCCCTTTGCTCCTGGTACCCTTTAACGGCTGCTTTACCCACTTCCTAAGCCCCGCGAGGCAGGGAAAAGCACCTGCCTTCCGTGTATAAAACGACCCTCAATTTTTTGGCTTATTTTTAAAGTGTCATTTTATACACGGAAAAATACTGTATATCCCATAATAATTAACCTTTATAACTCTGAAGTGGTAGGGATATGGAATACATAATCAACTTTTAAACAACGTAATCCCAGGCCTGTATCCATCAGTCAGTTGACAAGTAGCAACTTTGTTAACTCATTTCATTCCACACATTCAGAGGAACTGAATGTGTGGAATGAAATAAAGTTAATTTTGGGAATGATGATCAACTTAATAGCAGCCACTTTGCCTAACTTGGTTAGTTCCACCCCACAATTTATTTTCAGCTTGAAGTTCAAGCATATCAGATTTAACATATGGCTATGTATAGTAACTCTGAGGTATATGAGCACAGTAAAATTAACAGGTATACAGTAACTATAGGGAAGTAGTCTCTTTGAGCCAAATTTAAATTATGACTTAATATATGTGACTTGTGCACATGGATTCTGACTCAGGCATGGATAATTTTTTTATTTATTTAAAATATTTTTACCCCACTCTTATCCTTACAAAGGACCCAAGACAGCATACATCGTTAAAAAGAAAAAATTTAAAACCAAAACCAGTAAGTATACAAATTCTTTAAAAGAATTTTTAAAATATTATATTAAAACAGTAAATAAAATCAATACTAAAAACACAGTTAAAAGCAACAAGGCACAACAATCTATTTAAACAGATCCTGCTACATAATTATTTACTAAGGGAAAGTCCTCTTGAGGGAAAGTCTTCGCCTGATATGGAAGGCGAGCACAGACGTGGACAGATTTGCTTCCTGTGGGAAGGCGTTCCAGAATCTGGAATCAGCTAGGCGCTCTCCTGTGTCCCCATCAAATGCAACTATCAGTGGGGTGAGATCAAGAGAAAGGCCACCCCTGTCGATCTCAATACCTGGGCAGGCTCATAAAAAGAGACAAGGTCCCTGAGATAGCTTGGACCCAAGCTGTTCAGGAATTTATAGGTTAAAGTAGCCATTAAGAAGTGACCAAAATTAATACCTATAATAAGAATAAGAATTAACAAGCCTTTCCTGACATTCATTTATTTGTGCTGTTTTCATGTGCTTCAGCCTATTATCATCTTTTATTTCTAACTGGTGCAGTTTGCTCCACTTATTTAAAAGACTCTTTCAGCTGAACCCCATTTTACATTACTATGTTTCAGTCATCTGACAATACACAGTGGTGCCTCGCATAGCGATTGCTTCATATAGCGATGAAGATTTTGCGATCAGTTTGCTATGTTCCCTATGGGGGAATTTTGCTTTGTGATAATCAGTTCCCTGCTTGGGGAACCGATCATGGCAAAGCAATGCTTTTTAAACAGTTGATCGGCGCCGCATGCTACCCCCCCAAGAGCTCGTGCATAAATATGGGATGGCGGGAGGGGGGGAGCAGGGGCACTCCGGATTGGTGCCTCGGGAAAAAGGAGGGGTGAAGGGCCTGGCCCTGATCCCTGCGCGCATCCCTGGGGCGCCGAGCCAGAGAGCAATCACGGCGGGAGGCACTGCAAAGGAGGAGGCGCCCGTCCAGGACCAGGGCGGCAGGAGCTGGATGGTATGCCAGAGACCCCCTCCTCGCCCTGTCTGCGCCAAGGAGACTGGGCGTCCGGGGTTGGCTGGCTGGCGGTGGGTGGCGCGCCCCTTCCCACCCTAGGTGGCTGCCTGCCTCCGAGCCCTCCTCCCGCCGCCCAAGGTGGACAAACCCTGGAGACCTTCCTTGCGGCGCCCTGGGAGCGCGGCCGTGCCCACGTTGACTGGCCGGGCACCGCAGGCAGGAGGGGGGTGGAGGCAGAGGCCGGAGCCAAGTGCCTTGGACAGCTGATGCCCTGTCTGTGGGGCCGACCCTGGAAAGGCTCGCTGGGTTTGCCCAGCGGCTGCCCAGGCGGTGGCCCGGACACGTCCCACCCCTCTGGTCTCCGCCCCGATGGAATTTCGCTTTGCCATGATTGGCTCCCTGCTTGGGGAACCGATTATCGCCAAGCAATGCTTTTTTAACAGCTGATCGGCAGTTTCAAAATGGCCACCCGCTGTTTTCTGGGACGGATTCCTCGCTTAAGAGGCAGCGAAAATGGCTGCGCTATGGAGGATCTTCACTGAACAGTGAGTCTGAAGCCCCTAGGAATGCATTAATTGTGTTTTAATGCATTTCTATGGGCTTTTTATTTTTGCATTGTGACCTTTTCGTTTAGCAGCGATTTCGCTGGAACGAATTAACGTCGCAATGCGAGGCACCATTGTACATACCTCCTGGATTAAAACCTTAGTATTATTACTTAGATAAGAGCTATTGTGTTCAAAGGGCAATATCTGAGGAAAGAAAGATGTCAGCCACATTAGGGCTTACAATGAATTGAAATTCAAAGCAATCTATTTCAAAATTTGTAACAAGAGGTCCCATGGCACTTTACATATAAACACATTGCTGTAGTTACCTTAACCTTTCCTTCTTCTAACTGAGCTTGGCGAAATCTTGCCAAGGCCGTCCTAAAAAAAGGGGGGATAAACATCCATTAGTTTCTGTGGTTGACATTTCTGAGAGCTCATGTGAATCAGATCCCAGCTAAAATATGTAGCATTATGTAAGATGTAACATCCCTGTTTCCAACATATTCATGATGGTTTCTATAATTATGATATCAAGCATTGAAAGAACCAGATTTGATTAACCTGAGGAATAGAAAAGCAGATCAAATTCATGTACAGTATGTGAAGAAATAATAGTTATACACTATTTTCTCGGCACAAAATTTGAGCAATAAACAGAGAAAGAGAATACCAACACTATTATACTATAAATGGAAGAAATGCCATATGGCACTTCTTAGTTATTAAAGGGTTCTTCCATGCAAAACAAAGATATCAATAGCTTTAAAAATTCTCAGCACCAGAAGCAGTACTTACATGGCCTTCTCTGCATTTCGGGCCTAGGGGGAGAAAAGAGAAAAGGAGAAAGTTTTTTGTTTCATAGAGCATTACTGTAGTATTTGGCCACAGTTGAAATACTGGTCTGAATTCAGGATTTATGATTGCAGTGGTTGTACAGTTTCATTAAATTCAATTTGAAAGTGGTTGTAAATAAGCTCCCTGTGAACAGCAGGTTGGTCATCAGCTGGGGGGGCTGGTTCAGTGATTTTTAATACCAGTGCATCCCAGAACCCAGCAGTACACAATCTGATAGGCTACAGAGGAAGCCAAGTTAGTCTGTGTAAGCACATCAGGAAAAATCCAAAGAAATAAAACAAAATAAGATAAAAACAAACTGCCTTTTCAGCAGCTGCCCCCAGACTATGGAATGCCGTCCCAACTAAGATTCATCTGGACGCTGATGACATTTCGGCACCAGGACAAAACCTTCTTGTTCCAGAAGGCTTTTAATTGAAATAATATCAGCTGTGGGTCCTGATAGCAATTTTTAAAGTATATATTTTAATGGCATTTTAATTGTTTTATCTTTTTATTGTATTTTAAATGTTGTAAGCTGCCCAGAGACCTTTGGGTAGTGTGGGCGGCATATAAGTTAAATAAATAAATAAATAAAACCATATGGCATCTTAAAGACTAACAATTATATTTTAATGTGAGTTTTTGTGGATCACTTCCATTTCTTCAGATATATGGAATTCTATATTTCATTTTATTCCAAATGTCTGAAGAAGTGGATATAATCCATGAAAGCTCACATTAAAATACAATAGTCTTTAAGGTGCCACGTGTTTTTGTTTTGTTTTCTTTGGATTTTGCCTAATATATATGTAAATGTTTCTGGTGTCCCCTTTGCTTGTACAAAATCATGCCAACAGGATTTTGCTCAGAATAAGATCAGATGAAAACAGATGTCAGAGGCCACTGTCAATTGCTTACTTACAACAGTAACAATTATATTTTAGCTAAAGTTTCTGACTTCTATGCATGGTTATTCAAATCCAATTTTGTGGATGTAACCAGCTTATGTGTTGAACTGCAACTTCTGGAAGAAAGTGTATCACAACAATTTCACCCACTGAGAGTGCAAAACTTCCTACATGACTTGTTCACTATTTGCAGCCAAAAGACTACCAGTGTAACTGTCTTCAGTTACAACTGTCATCACCCAATCTAACAATGAATCACATCAACAAAATGGCACTGAAAGAAGTTCCTTGGTTGGTTGTTTTATTTCTATTTGAGAACTAGCACAGGAATGAAGTCTCCTTAATATACTGTAACAGCACGCATTCCAATTTTTTGGATAGGAAATGGAAGTGACTATTATTGTGGCATTAAAGCTCAGCCAATAACAACAATAACTTTGAATAAAGCTTCCATTGTCTTACTCAATTGCTTCAATGCAATTAGTTATCTATTCAGAATTAAACTGCACTTTAGATATTTATATGCCACATGAAGAATATCTACTGAATTCCTGGCCACCATTTATTTATTATAAATAATTTTCTCCTACTGTTCCGCTCTGATTTAACAAGTTATCTGTCTCGATCTTCTTCAACATGCGTAACCTAACCAAGCCCACCACTTACAACACAAGAGTTGCAGCACCTTAAAGACTGTGTCAATTTTCGAGGACTGTAGTTCAGTGTGTTCGAGGAAATAGGCTATAATCCACTTGATTAAATCTATTCCTCTTCCAAATGCCACAACTTTTTTTATTCTATTCCCAAATAATCCACTGTTTGCAATAATCCACAGGGGCCTACAAGACTGTTAAAAATAATAAAAGTCCACAGGGGTTTTTTTTTATTGCAAGATTAGGAAACTCCGCGAGTTCTCTCTTTAGCTCCCGCAATGTATTTTCCCTCCTTCCTCCCTCCCGACTCGACGAAATTCATTTATTTTTCGAGGGAACGGGACGTGACCCCTCCAGGGCCAGTTCTACAGGGTCCCAGATCCGAAGCCGTCTGAACTGGGAGTTTAGGGCATCTCTAAACCAAGCCCACCTGCCATGCGGTCTCTTCCCCTTTCCCGCGCTCCCCCAGCACACAAGGGCGAGCTTATCCATACACAGACGAAGGACTGGGCAAGGTTTCAACGCCCGGAACCTGGGGGTTTTTTTTTGGGGGGGGGAGAGAGGAAGCACCTCCTCACCCTCCCGCTCACTCACCATAGCGACCACGGTCTAAGGAACACCACCCTCGGCCGAAACCAGCGAACAAACTGGAAAGCGTTCTTCCAATGTGCACGACCCGGAAGTGAATGTGTTTTTTTTTAAAAAAAGCATGTCGCACGCCCTGGGCTTCAGTCTGACCGCGTCGCTAGCTTGACTTCCGGCGTTCAGCGAGAGCGCCGCTCTGCCCCCATGGGGCGGAACGAAACGCCTGCGTGGGTGAAATGTGTTCACTCTCAACAGGCACAGAAAGAGAGTGACTCTTTTCTTCCCCCCCTTGCCAAGATTTGCATCTGGTGCTGGGACCACTCTTTCTAATGACGGACTCAGGCAGCGAGTGTCAGAGGTACTGAAGCCGAAAACGAAATTTTTGAGGAACCATAAGGGTTGCAAAGAAGTCAGGGAACCGTTAAGAAGGCAGGCAGGCAGGCAGTTCCTCCCCTCAACATCCCCGTGAAAACTAAGCATGGAAAACTCAGGAGTTACCTTGCTGTTTTAATTTATTCTATGGAAAGCTGGTTTCAAGGAGCTTTGGCCTTGATAAATCCCCAGGACTGAACAATTTTAGCCACCGTATGAAAAATTCTAAACTACACAGGGTAAAATTCAACCCTCTGGCTGTTGACCTGTGACTCCTTTCAGCCCTGATCAGTACAATCAATGGTGAAAAATGTTAGGAATATCGTTACAATAAGATGTGGAAGGGTAAACCTTGTTCACCTGAACTCTGATGCAAGGGTGCCTTGATGCACTACAATTCCCAGATCCCCCTCATCTGTAGACTGGTTTCCAAATTCTAATAAAACCTGAAGTGATGTCTGTTTGCAACATTTGGTTATATATATATATACCGCCCCATAGCGCTACAAGGACTCTGGGCGGTTTACAATTTAATTATACAGGCGACACATTGCCCCTCCAGCAAGCTGGGTACTCATTTTACTGACCTCGGAAGGATAGAAGGCTGAGTCAACCTTGAGCCGGCTACCTGGGATTTGAACCCCAGGTCGTGAGCACAGTTTTAGCTGCAGTAGAGCGTTTTAACCACTGCGCCACGAGGCTCAAGTTTTTAGTGATAGTTATGGAAGCTTTTTCCTTGGAGCTGGCAGAGAGATATAAATTTATGGGGTAAAATCCTGCTGGATTCCTATGTAGTTACACAATGTATCATGTAAAAGTAAACACACGTCCCCCCACTTTGCAGACCCTCTATTGCACAACTGGGCCCTGCATTGTTCAATATATTTAGATGAAGAGTATGGTGAAGATATCCATCAAATTCAAAGATGACACCAAACTAGGAAGGACAACTAATACTCCAGATGATAGAATCAGGATTCAAGACTACCTAAACAGATTGGAGAACTGCACCAAAACAAGCTTCAATACAGAAAAGGGGTAATGTTCCACATTTAGTCAGGAAAACTAAATGCACAAATATAAAATGAGTGACTGCTGTGTTGTCATTAGTAAAATGGATCTTAATAAACCATGAGCTTAATGGAAGTCTGCGGTATGGGTGGGGAGCAAATGTAATACTTAGTTGGCTCAAGGGACATAGTGTCCAGATCAAGAAAAATAATAATACCACTCTCCTCCTTTGGTCAAACTTACCTGGAATGCTGTGTCTAGTTCTGGGCACCACAGTTGAAGAAAGAGATTGACAAGCTGGAACAAGTCTAGAGCAGGGCGACCAGGAAAGCAAAAGCTGGACAGCAGACCTAAGAGGATTGGTTGAAGCATCTGGGTATGCTTAGCCTTGAGAGAAGACTGAGAGGCGATGTGGTAGCCATCTTCAAATAGTTGAAAAACTGACTGCAAGATGGAGGTCTATGCCCCAAGTGAACACTTTTCAAAGCAGTAGTTGTGTTAGCCTGTTTTAGCATGTGCAGCACGCACACGCATGCACGCATGCGCACGCGCGCGCGCACACACACACGCATGCACGCACACGCATGCACGCGCACACACACACATTCTTCATCATTCTTAAAGATTGAGAGATTTCTTTTTGTGTAGGATTACATGGATTACAATCTACTCCCTCAGAGAAATTAAACAAGCATCTAATTATTGTTGTAGGTTTTTCTGGCTGTTTGGCCATGTTCTGGAGGTTTTTCTTCCTCATGTTTCTGGCTGGCATCTTCAGAAGACGGGAGCTGGAATTCTGTCTGTATTCTGGTGTAGTGTGTTGGGAGCTGGAACTCTGTCTGTGTTCTGGTGTAGTGTGTGGAATTGTTGAGTATCTGATGCTTTCGTCCTGTCACTGGATGACTTTCTACAAGTACAATAATATCTGTTGAAACCAGTCTGGAAGTCTCAGCTTTTTCGATTATAACAAACACAACCACCCAGCTAGCAAGTCCAAAAACAAATTTCCAGTCTGACTGAAGCTGAAGTGGCTGTTAAACTTTGAGGAAGGACCATTTATATACCCACTTGTGGAACCTACTCTTTGAGAGAGTAGGTTCTAGCCCCCAAACATAACCTTTGATTTGGTGCGTGAAGATGCAGTTGCTTAAGCCATAATATGCAGGACGTTGCTCGAAGTACAGTGTTTGTAGCTTTTTAAGTCAGGCATAAGACACAATTTTCTATTGGCACATTTTATATACAGTATACAATTTCTCCTCAGATTACATAAGAAGAGCCCTGCTGGATCAAGCCAATGGCCCATCTAGTCCAGCTTCCTGTTTCTCACCGTGGGCCCACCAGATGCCTCTGGGAGCACACAAGACAACTAGATACCTCTCTCCTCCTGATCCCACTCCCCTGCATCTGGCATTTTGAAGCACCTTCCTTTTAAGCCTGGAGATTATCCATTCCCATTATGGCTTGTAACTTGCGATGGCCTTTTCCTCCAAAAATCTGTCCAATCCCATTTTAAAGGCATCTAGGTCAGATGCCATCACTACATCCTATGACAATGAGTTCCACAGACTAACAACATGCTGGGGAAAGAAATACTTTCTTTTGTCTGTTGTCACTCTCCCAACACTCAATTAGAGTGAATGTCCCCTGGTTCTAGGTTCTAGTTTTGCATGAGAGGAAAAAGAGCTTCCCTCTGTCCATTTTATCCATCCCCTACATAATTTTATATGTCTGAGTCATGTCCCCCCTCAGGCATCTTTTGTCTAGACTAAAGAGCCCCAAACACTGTAGCCTTTCCTCATAAGTGGAGTGCCCCAACCCAGTCATCATTTTGGTAACTCTCTTCTGCACCTTTTCCAGTTTCACTATGTCTTTTTTGAGGTGTGGTGACCAGAACTGTATGCAATACTCCAGGTGCGACCTTACCAGCATTTTGTACAATGGCATTATAATGTTCGCTGTTTTATTTTCAATCTACTTTTTAATTATCCCTAGCATGAAGTTGGCCTTCTTCACTGCTGCCGCACACTGGGTTCACACTTTCGAGCTTGTCCATCAGCTCACCAAGATTTTTTTTTCCTGATCAGTCACAGACAGCTCAGAACCCATCAGCTAATAAATAAAGTTTTGATTTTTTTGCCCCAATGTGCATTACTTTACATTTTCTTATATTGAAACACAGTTGCTATTTTGCTGCCAATTCTCCCAGTTTGGAGAGTTTCTTCTGGAGCTCTTCACAACCCCTTCTGGTCTTATTGTTGTTGTTTAGTCACAAAGTCGTGTCCGACTCTTCGTGACCCCATGAACCAGACCATGCCAGGCCCTCCTGTCTTCCACTGCCTCCCGGAGTTGGGTTAAATTCATGTTGGTACCTTTAGTGACACTGTCCAGCCTTCTTGTCCTCTGTCGTCCCCTTCTCCTCTTGCCTTCACACTTTCTCAACACCAGAATAGTAGTAGTACTTTATTACGGTCTAAGACCAGTAAAACCAAAACAGTATAAAATAGACATACAGGTATTGTTTCGGGCAGGATAATAAAATTCAATTAAAACATGATAAAACAACCCCTCCTTTCCAATTAATAACATCATATATCCTTAATATTGGTAAACCGTCTGGCAGTGTTATATTAAAAACATATTATCCATTTAAAATCACCTACCCAAACATGTTTATGAACAACCATTGCTGCAGCACAGAATTTGGCCACTTGTCTTGTGATATAACAGTGATCAGGGAACAGGGGTAAATTACCCCAAATGGGGTAAAAATGAAAATCCTGGGGGTAATGAGGACAGTTGCGGCAGTGTGACCCTCCTCATTATCCCCAGGCATTTTATTTCCAACGATATTGTGTGTAGGCGGGCATTCTGTCACAGGGAGAGCAAGCGCTGGTGAGGAGCCCCCCTTCCCTCCCCGCCTCACCTGAGCTCATGGCCGGTGGACCTGCCGGCCCTGCAGTACCTGCCTCCCCTCGCCAAGGATGCACTTTCCTGGTGGCACGGCAGTTCTAGACTTGCTGTTCGGGCGGCCGCCGCAGGTACCGGGCAAGGGCAGAGGTGGAGGGGGTCGGCCGTGGACGGCGAGAGCGGAGGGGCGGTGCTGGAAGGGGACAGGGTAATGTCAGCGTATATAATTTTTTTGGGGGGGGGGGAAAAGGTAAAAAAAGTTCCCTGACCCCTGTCTTAGTGAAACATTTGAAGATTTTCATATATTGCTGTTTGAATTTTAAAAGTATTTAAACTAGTGCTTGATTTATTTAAAATATAGTCCAGTAGTCCTCCATCCTTCCACTCCTGCCTTTTACCCCAAGTAACACTTCTGCTGTTCTCTTCGGTGAAGAGACCCATTACTGAATTGGTAATTGGAAATGATTACATTTTAAAGTAACTTTCTAAGCTCTGTCTTCTAAGAAAGCTGTTAATGTTGGAACTATTGCACCCTTGTCGTTAAGAGGTTTAGTTAAGAGATCAGCAACTTCATTCCTCAGTTCTTTAATACTGTAACCATTGAGTGGATGCCATCTGTGCCTGGTGACTTATTGATCTTCAATTTATCATGTCTAAATTTATTTACGTCCTTTAAGGAACAAGTATTTTAGTTAAGAGATCAGCAACTTCATTCCTCAGTTCTTTAATACTGTAACCCTTGAGTGGATGCCATCTGTGCCTGGTGACTTATTGATCTTCAATTTATCATGTCTAAATTTATTTACGTCTAAAACATCCT